CTCAGATCACATGGTTCACTCGAGACTGACAGCTGGCTCACAGTCCTAGCTCTGAGGATGATCCAGGTGACTAATGAGGGAACTGCAAGGGCACGCATTCCCTGGCTAGGCAGGCCACCTGGGTCCAGCTGGCACTCTGAGGAAGGAAGCTCTCCTTTTGCTGGGCTTTCTAAAATGGTAGATGAGAAGCTAGAGTTGCTGGCAGCAATCTTTGCTTCCACATGGGAAGAGCTCACCTGAGAACCAAACCAACAGAAGGGAAGAACAGGGACAGGAAGAGATTCCTGATGACATCACTTGGGCACCCTGCCAAAGTTTTACCCTATAATTTTTCAAATACACCAGTCAAAAAACGACCTTTTCTTTTAAGCCACATCTGAGTTGGGATTCTGTCCCAACCAAGCGCTGCTAATACTAGCAGCAATGTTAAACCACTAATAATCTCCCTCACCTCTGACCTCCTACCCCCCACAAAAAGCTCCTGCTTCCTTGTAAAAGTCTCAACTTCCTCTAGGATGCTTCAGCCTGTAATTTCCTTCCTGTCCTCTGATTTTCTAAGCAATTATTGGGTACCTACCCCCTTTATTGTTACTCAGTCCTCAAGGCCTCATCCCAATTATACAAAGATGGTCAAGGAGGAGCTAAAATTCTTTCTATCTTTGACAGCATCTTCCACCCTACAAAGTACAAGCAGACAAATCATGTATGAGAAAGAAAAGGTAACTACAGATGGTCTGCATCAAAGTAGAAAACTTGCCCTAGCCGGTTTGGCTCAGTGGATAGAGTGGACTAAAGGGTCATGGGTTCGATTCCGGTCAAGGCACGTACCTTGGTTGCAGGCTTGATCCCCGGCCCTGGTCACACACCCCCGCACCCCCCCCCTCCCTTCCACTCTCTAAAAAAAAAAACAAAAAAAAACCTCAATGGAAAAATATCCTCAGGTGAGGATTCACACACAAAAAAAAGAAAACTTATACCTTTACTGGAAATGAGCTTGAAGGGATGTTGCTTAAGGTCATCTCTATTCATTCATTCAAGTGCTAATAATACACCAGGGAATAAGACAAGGCCCCCACTTTAACAGTTAGCTGGGCTGTGGATCTCTCCCAAACCCCTCCAAAGAGAGACCACTGGTATCGAAAGACTTAACCACTGAGCCACGCTGGCTGGGCTGGACCCAGTTTTCACTGAAGAATCTCACTCATCCAAAATGGCAGCAGAAGGCGGGTGAGCAAAAAGAACCGGGGAGGCCAGGGACAATTACTACCCACTACAGCAGCTTCTGTCTGAACCTATTCAACTTCCTCATGCAAGTTCATTTTTGAATATTTGTTCCCATACTTAGTGCATGTAAGGAAGTGATGTATTTTACACACATACACACCCAGCAGTGATCTACAATCCTCTATTTGCAATCCTGAAATCCAAAAAGGTCTCAATAATGACAACCTTTCTGTTTCTTATTTGGCAGCAAAACTTGACCTGACCTGACCTGAACTTATTTGGTGGCAGAACTTGGCCTAAACTTACTGGAAGTTATTTATAGTCTTTATTTTCCTCACTGAGTGTGAACAGTCATATGTTCCGCTGTAAAAGATACTGTATTTAATTATAAGGTCATTCAGTAGTTCCAGAAGTTTCAGATAAGGGAATATAGATTTGTGTATAAATAATTCAACTAAGTAATGATGGTCCTGGAATAATACATTTTTTACTTCAAAAGCATATACAATATCAACTAACAAAGGACAGATATTTAAAATCAGGACTTTCTAAGCTAAAATGAATCTTGAGAGCATAGTTAAGCTAGTGCCCTCATTTGTAGGTGAGGACACTAGACTCCTAAGGGCACATGACTTGCCCAAGAAAACCAGTTTTCAACAGACAAGTTCCCACCTGCTACCCTCACCCCAAGGCAATGAACTTCAGTGAACTGTAGATCCCAGCTTGAGGGTCCTCACTGTGGATTAGGATCCAGCTCTGCTTCTGTTGATCAGAGTGCCCATGGGTTCTCCAGAAAATACCTGATTGAACTTAAGGGAAAAGTAAAAAAATATTTGAAAATATACTTCCCTCCCTCGTTTCCACTTCTGTCTCAGAATTTGGATGCGTGTACAGCCAATACCACTTATTCTAAGAGGGAAGGTTTGGCTCTGTGGATAGAGCGTCAGCCTGTGGACTGAGGGGGTCTCAGGTTTGATTCCGATCAAGGGCACAGACCCGAGTTGCAGTCTCGATCCCCAGGAGGGGGCCTGTGAGAGGCAGCTGATCAATGATTCTCTCTCATCATTGATGTTTCTAACACTCTCTCCCACTCCCTTCCTCTCTGAAGTCAATAAAAATATACTTACCAAAAAAAGAGGGAAGGAAAAAATATTCTGAATTCAGTTAACAATTAGTGAAATTATTAACAAGTTGGTAATATTAACTGTATGATGACAGCATTCTTATTTCAAGAGCTCATTTCAAAATAAGGATTAAAGATATAAATCAGTTGATGATGATAATAATAGCAGTAGTTACTATCATTTAAGGAGAGTCTGTTACATGCCAGGAACTATGTGTGGTACTTTACATACTTACTTGGTTCTATCAAACCTGCAAGGAAGGTATTCTTGCCTCCACTTTAAAGATGAGGAAGTTGAGAGGTTCAGAGAGCTTACTAAGTATCCTTTCTAAGATCACACAAAGGACAGTCTGGGCTGTTTGAGAGACCATGAAGAGATGTGCTTACCAGTACAGCTCTGGAGCCATATACTGCTGTGGTTTGAACCCAGCTCTGCTACGGACTGGCTAGATTAACTTGTGCAAGTGCCTTAGTTTCATAACCTGTAACATGGGTATAATAATACTACCCATCTCACAGGGGTGTTGAAAGGACTAAATGAGTGAATGTGAAAGCAGTTAAGAGAAGGCCTGGAACTTGTATTAACTATGTATTAACTATTATCACAAGCATGCCCTATGTATTAACTATTATCATGATCACGAACACTGGCACCAGCATTCAAACCCAGATCTGCCTAACTGGCAGTTCTTCTTTCCCACCGTGCTGTACAGATTAACAACATTAGTGGTATTGAGTCATCTCCCATGCCACCAGTTGAAGTTGTTTGCTTCTCATTTCTTTTGTTTGTTCCAAACTCTAAGATCTGTGGTCATCTCAAGACTGACAAAAGTCTTTCTTTCGGTAAATAAATAACCAGGCATCGAATATATAAAATAAAAAATTCCAACAACTGATGCCTCTAAGTCACCTTCACACTGTAGGGGTTTTAATAAACAGTTAATTTAAATTACTCAGGGCCAAAAAATAAATCTTATCATAGACACAACTATACATAGATACATTCACTATATTTCGTTGCAACACATGAAACAAAGATAGAACAGCAGGTGGTATATCAGTTACATTTTCCACTTACAAGTCTGGGGCACTTTCTCACCCTCACTTATAAAATGTATTGTTATTAGCCCCTAGACCAGTGATGGCGAACCTATGACACGTGTGTCAGAGGTGACACGTGAACTCATTTTTTTTGGTTGACTTTTCTTTGTTAAATGGCATTTAAATATATAAAATAAATATCAAAAATATAAATCTTTGTTTTACTATGGTTGCAAATATCAAAAAATTTCTATATGTGACACGGCACCAGAGTTAAGTTAGGGTTTTTCAAAATGCTGACACGCCGAGCTCAAAAGGTTCGGCATCACTCCCCTAGACCAACCTTTCACCTGGCTGGTGTGGTTCAGTGATTGAGCTTCGACCTATGAACCATAAGGTCACCCTTAGATTCCCAGTCAGAGCACATGCCCGGGTTTGGGCTCAATCCCCAGTAGGGGGCATGCAGGAAGCAGCTGATCAATGTTTCTCGCATAGATGTTTCTCTCTCTCCCTCTCTCTTTCTATAAATCAATAAAAACATATTTAAAAAAATAAAAGAATACCGTATGAGACCCAACCCAAACCAAAGGGCTGTTTCAGTCATGAAAATGTTTAAAAACTGTATATCCCGAGCGCACAAAAATCTATTAAACCCGTGTGTTTCCACCTCCCAAACCTGTTGCTTGGACCCTCTGAGGAGTTCACAGCCTGACCCAACTACCTTACTGTACTGTTAACTAAAAGCAGAGTCACAACGGCAGGGCTTGTGGGACCTGGGACCTAAATTATTAGCCTATCCCATGACCCCCGGGCTTGTGCTGGCTCCCAAGAGGTTAAGCGCTGGAGTCCAAAATCATTAAGGTGCCCCGGTCACGTGGGTCACGTGAGGGTGATCTCGGGACAGGGAAAAGTGGAGGTGCCAAGAGATCGCTCACATCAGTGTGTGCACACCTGCCAGCAGGGCTACCTGACGGTGTACAGTTGTCAAAAATGACAGAGCAAACGTGCAAAAGAGTCCCCTTGCACACCGAGTCCTTTCAATGTTGAGCCAGTACACTATTCCCACTGCAAATTCATGTGCAATGACACACGCGCCCTTGGATAAAGTTTTGAGGACTGGGCAGAAACTAAGTTAAGAAGATTAACGTGCCTTTGTCAAAGGGGACAAGATTAGAAGGGTGACACCCGAGGGGCAACACTGTAGGAGGGGCCAGGGATCGGAATTTAGGAACGGAAAGACACCAACTCTGGGTTCCAGGAGGGGGTTCCTGGAGGTTAAGGCCCGAGGGAGAAAGTCCAATGACTTGGGAACCCCGAAGAATGCATCGGTGGGAAAGGGAATCCGCAAAACGAGCTCCTATTCCCCCCAAACTATAAGGGGGGACGAAATCTCGACCCCAGACGCTGAAAGCCGGTCTGAGTCCTCCGCGCCTCCGGGGAAAGGACAGGCGCTAGGACGGGTCCTCGGGGCGGCAGGGAAGATGGGGACGCAGGGGTCACGCGCGCCCGGAATCGCGGCGTCCCCGGCTCGGCGAGGGCGCCAGGGGGTCGGGGGCCGCGGGGCCGCGCGGGTTCAGGGCGCCTCGGCCGGGGATCCGGAGCCGCTACTCACCTCGCCGAACTGGAAGGCGGAGACGATGGTGACTACGACGCCCACGAAGCAGACGTAGAGCCCATACCTGTGGGACAGGCAGGTATAGGTCTGTCTCTGCAGGAGCTTGAGCAGCATCACCCCGGCCGCCGCCACGCCACGCCCCGAGGAGCCAGAGCCGGAGCCGGAGCCTCAGTGCGCCGCCATGCAGCGGCCCCCACCGGGCCGCCCGCTCAGATCACGGCCTCCGGCCGCCGCGCATTGCAGCTCCGGCGATGGACGCCGGCTCGGCTCCGCGCCGCGGCCGCCGCTTCCGGGAGCCGGGAGCCCACGCCTTCGGCGCGGCGGAGGCGGACCTGCACCCCGCGAGGCATCCCACCCACTCCCTGTCTGCCCAGCGAACAGGTATCTGTCGGCGGTGCTGCTACAGCGAGGTCGGCAGCGCCCCTGGAGGGCGGAGGGGCGGAGGCAGGCGCGCGCCCTCCCGGTCTGCGCGTGCGCGGCGGCCCTCCAGACTGGGCGGGGGACCCCGAAGCCGCGTGGGGCAGCCCAGCTGAGATATGATCGGTCCTTGCAAGGACTCTGTGTCACAGGCCGCGCTGTTATGCCACGAATACTTCTGTGCTCACATCCCTTTCTTCATCTACAACAACTGGGAAATATGGTTCATAGGGCTCCTTCCCCCTCTGGCTCTCTAACCATATTGCTTGAATGAGGAAACTTTGGGACTAAATGTGCCCAAAACAAAATTAATTCATTTATTGATTTAAAATGTAGTGTCCCGTGCCGAGCTTAGTGTTTGGTGTCAGGTATTCAGAAATTAACTAGACTTGGGCACCTTCCCAGAGAGCCTAGTTGGGGAGATAAACACGTTAAAGGATCAAGTGCAAAACAGTTATGATAGAAACAGGGGTGGTCAGATATTTATTTTCACTTTGGCTCCAGGTGATTTTGAGGTTGGCCTACCTTCCGCGCCTCCTATTGGTGAGAGATTTTGTTTTCTCTGAATATACCCTAGTTAATATGATTTTTGTCTTAAATTAAGCCACCCTGGGAAACAATCCCCTTACCCAGTGTTGCCATCATTCATAGCATTTTTAGAATTATCTTCACAACCAGTTTCAGGGATATACTCAAAATATGCACTCAACTGGATGGTCAAATGCAATTAACAGATTTGCAAAAGGGAGTGACTACCTTTGCTCCAATCTAAAGTGAAGTGTTGACACTTCTCAGTCCTTTTAATCCTTTAGGAGAAGCTGATGCGTGATCTAAACATACAGGGCAAAATTATGGCAGTTGTGCAAGACACTTATAAAGTGTTAGGGACAGAAATTGAATATTGGGGACTAGCTATAGTTATAAGAAACATTAATCATTTTCTGTTAACCTTGATTGTTTTGTCCTAATTAAATAAACACATTCTAACCTGGCCATATGCCCCAAGGACCTGGGAGTTAACCTTGGACCTGGCAGTTAACCTTGGAATGCAGTCCATTCTCATTTGAGAACTGCCTATTATCATGGAGAGATTAACAACCTTGTTGCCAAAACAATGGAGTCCTACCCCAGCCTGCATTCTTATCCTCCTATATAATCCTATGTAATAATCCTATATAATAAAAGGCTAATAAGCAAATCAACCAAATGGCAGAACAACTGGTTGCTAGGATGTGCACTGACCACCACCGGGAGGACGCTCAACGCAGGAGCTGCCCCCTGGTGGTCAGTGCGCTCCCACAGAGGGAGCACTGCTCAGCCAGAAGCCAGGCTCATGGCTGGCAAGCTCCTGCCTCCACAGCAGTGGGACATCCCTCCAGGGCTTGAGGACTGTGAGAGGGTGCAGGCCAGGCTGAGGGACCCCCCCACACACCTCCCCACCTCATGCACTGGGCCTCTAATACAATATAAGCAGCTGGTTTATGTGGGGGTGCAGAGCAGTTTTTCGTGAATGGCTGCTCTCCTATACTGCCGGCATTTTTGGAATAAAGCTCATATATGATTCAACCCTGTCTCTGCTTAATTGGCTCAAGTAGTGACCGGCAGACTGGACCCATTTGTTGTCTGGTTTCAAACGTTTCAAGGTCTTTTCAAGCATGGTAACAGATATAAAACCATCTATCATTCACAGGACTCTCTTAAAATGTTTGTTTCCACAATAATGATGACCAACATTTACTTAGCTTCTACTGTGGGCTGAGTCATCTAATGCCTCACAACAACCTTCTAAGGTAGATATCATTACTATGGCCATTCTACAAATGATGAAACTGAGGTACAAAGATGTTAAATAACTGTCAATATCACACAACCAGTAAATGACAGAATTGAGATTTGAACAGGGTGGCTAAGTGGTTGAGTGTCAACCTATGAGGCAGGAGGTCATGGTTCAATTCCTGGTGAAGGCACATGCCCTGGATTTGGGCTGGATCCCCAATAGGGGGTGTGCAGGAGGTAGCTGATCAATGATTCTCTTTCATCATTGATGTTTCTATCTCTCTCTCCCTCTCCCTTCCTCTCTCTGAAATCAATAAAATATATATATATATTTTAAAAATCAATAAAAACAGATCTTTAAAAAAATGTTTGATATTTTGTCCTTTTTGTTAGGTATGCGCCAAAAGGAGCCAGGCCAAGAGACATTGTGAGAGTTTAAGAAATTTTATTACATTCTCTCACAGTGGACTGAGACCAGTGTTGGTGTCAGCCCCATGGGGGTGGTTAGGTTCTCTTATATAGGGTAGAAGTATGCAATATAGGGTCAGGGTGTGGTTGCATGAGTTGGTCAAGGGGAGGGGAGGACATGAGTAGGTCAAGGGAGTCAGGGGAGGAAAGTGCAGAGGTTGGTCAAGTGAAGGGGGATTCATCTTATCTTGCTTTTGCAGGCACCAGCCGTCTGTCTAAGCTATGGGAAAAGGTTGTAACAATATATATTTCAGAAGACATGTCCAAGCAGGAGAGATTAGGGGTAGTTCATCCTAACCCTTTTCACATTAACATGAAAGCTTCAGGTGGTTTGGTGCAGTGGATAGAGCAACGGCCCATGGACTGAAGGGTCTCGGGTTCAATTGCGGTCAAGAGCACAAACCTCGATTGCAGGCTCCTTCCCCAGCCCCAGGTATGGGAGGTAACCAATCGATGAAGCTCTCTCGCATTGATGTTTCTCTTTCTCTGTCTCTCCCCGTCCCTTCCAGTCTCTCTAAAAATCAATAGGAAAATATTCTCAGGTGAGGATTAACCAAAAAAAAAAAAAAAAAGAAAGAAAACTTCAAATATAACAAAAGCTCTCTGATTTGTTTTTAAAGTTAATCTTTCACTAAAGGATAAGAAAAAAAGAGCAATTTAAACATAAATCACACGTAATAAACTGTGGACTAAGGCAAGTTCTTTTTTTTGGCTAGAAAGAGAAATCATATAAAGGTTATTTCTGTCCTTCATCAGCAGGTTCTTAAAAATATTTTAAAATTGTGAGATTTCACTGAAAATCCTAACCCTAATGTCCATTTTCTTATTTATTTATTTATTTATTTATTTATTTATTTATTTATTTGATTGAATTTAGAGAGAAAGAGAAAGAGAGAGAAGCCTCAATCCGTTGTTTCACTTATGTATGCCTTCATTGGGTGTAACCTGACTGGGGATTGAACCCGAGCAACCTTGGCATATAGGACGACACTCCAACTGTGCTACCCAGCCAAGGACAGTTTTTTGTTTTGTTTTTTTAATAAATGGAAAATCTAGTCATACTGGGGCCACATTTCCATGTGGCAACAATCTGCTGTTGCTAAGTAGGAACTGCCTGCCCACGTTGTATGACAATGATTCATTTCATCGTTTCACCTCCCCATCCTTGAGGGTTAGAGTCAACTGACATTTATCATAGTGCGTGCACTGTAATTTACAGGTGAAAACTATTTCTTTACACACACTCTATGAAAAGGTAAATAAAAGGCAGAGAGAACCATATGATTCAAGCAAAAAGGGAAGGGTGTTTTGCATGTGTGTAGAAATGAAGATATTCTTCCGTGTATTGGGGACACCCAGCCTGAGTCACCCAGTTACATTACCTGCGTCAATGACATCATCTGCCTGGGACTTGAGTATGTGATGCCCTAATTAAAGCAAAAGCTAAAATTGTTGACTGAGAGTTTGAATTTTATTGAGATTAAAACCAAGGTAAGATAGGTTATAAACAAGATTTATTCTATCTTCCCCCATCCCTCTGCACTTCTAATTCCTTGCTTCCAGAGGATAAATCATGAGAGGATGAGTAGAATCTTGTCAAAATCAGTTAGAATGCTACAAGAGTCCCTCCGAAATGTTAATAGCCCACTTGAGACAAAGAGACAAACTGTAGTGTACTTCAGGGCCTTCAGGTAGAAGAGAGGATTTCACCTGATGGACTAACACCAGAGGGCTTTTGTCTCAAGGGCTTTGCAAGGACTATATTTCATTTTCAAGAAGTACTTTTTTCTTTCAATATTTTTAAAAATATGTTTTTATTGATTTCAGAGAGAGGAAGGGATAGGGATAGGGAGCTAGAAACATCAATGATGACAGAGAATTATACATTAGTGCCTCCTGCACGCCCCACACTGGGGATCGAGCCTACAACCCAGGCCTGTGCCCTTGACCAGAAATGAACTGTGACCCCCCTCAACACTCAACCACTGAGCCACACTCTTTCAATATTTTATTAACACTCCTTAACACTCCTGTTCTGTCTTGCCACCTCTCACCCCAGAAGATGAGGACTGTACCTGACTGGTGAGGTTGAGAGGAACTGAGCAGGTCTGCCAGAGATAGGAGTTCTGATACTCTACCTTCCAGGCACAGGAGAGTCAGCACCCGGGGCCTGGGCAGGGCCAGGGCCTGCAAAGTCTGTCTCACTCAGGGATGAAGTATGGGCTGCCCACTTGCTCCCAGAAGTAAGACATTCTCCACTTCACTTTATCAGCACAAAAACTGACGCTTTAATCTCCATCTGTCTGTACCTTGAATAGCTTTTTCAATTGGTTCAAAACTCAGAAGTCAAGGAGAAATGCTTTTATTGGACCCTAAAACATCAACCATCTTTGGGTCTCCTTTGACTCAGCCTGGATGGAAAAATGAATACCCAAAGCAAACAGTCCTGCACAAAAAGGAACCTCTTGTTCCAGGCCTACAAAACACATGCCGTGTATAGAGATGGTGTGCTTGGAAGGCCTTACCGGGAGCTGATAAGAAAACTGAACTTAAACAAAGAGCTTTA